TCCCACTCCTGCAGCTTCCATTCCACAGATAATAGCCACTTCCCCCTCCTGACACACCTCCCAGCCCCTAGGCCTTCCTTGAGTTCCAACCCTGCACCTCAGGCTAAGGGGTCATCCAGGCAGGAGCTGGCCAGACAGAGACCTCCAGGCTCAGGCCTTTGCGGGGGATGACTGGAGATGAGGGAGGAAAGGTCAGGGAGCCCTAAGAAGGAAAGCAGTGGGGACAAAGGGGATGAAATTGTGATAGGGAAAAGCGACTGTAGAAAGGTGCCCAGGCCTGGCTGGTGTGGCTCAGTGGTTGAGCATCGATCTATGAACTGTCATGGTTCGATTCCCAGTCAGGGTGCATGCCCAGGTTGCAGGCTGGATCTCCAGTGGAGGAGGGGGGGTGGGGGTGGGCGTGTATAGGAAGCAGCCAATAAATTATTCTTTCTCATCAGTGATGTTTCTCTCTCTCTCTCCCTCTCCCTTCCTCTCTGAAATCAATAAAAATATATTTAAAAGAAAAGAGAAAGGTGTCCAGGCCCTCGCTGGTTTTTCTCAGTAGTTAGAGTGGCAGCCTATGGACCAGAGGGTCATGGATTCAATTCCCAGTCAAGGGCCTGTACCTTGATCTCTGGCCCTGGTCTGGGCGTGCAGGAGGCAGCCAATCAATGTGTCTCTCTCACTTCAATGTTTTCCTCTCTCTCTTCTCCTCCTCCCTGCCTTCCACTCTCTCTGACAATCAATGGAAAAAATACCGTATTTGCCGGCGTATAAGACGCTTTTTTGGCCCTGAAAAATATGCCTCCAAGTGGGGGGTCGTCTTATACGCCCAGTCGTCTTATCAGCCGGCAAATACGGTATATTGGAGTAAGGATTCAAAAAAAAGGTGCCCAGTAGGAGGACTAGCCTTGGAGCCAGGGTCCAGAATCTGGCCAGTGGCCTGTTCAGCAACCGTTCACCCCTCGCCTGCTCCTCAGCCTCAGGGGAGGCAAGGCGGGGCTCTGGAAAGAATAACTAGAGGTCAGGGTCCCTGGCTAGCCTAGTCCTGGGGGAGTATAGGAGGAAGGGCAGCTTTGCCTAGGATTCAAGTGTTTAATGGAATTAGGCATCAGAGAGTGCCTCTCCATGTGCAGAGATGTGTGCGGGTCCTGTGTCCTGGTATGAGTGATCCAGGATAGGTGTGTGCACATGAGTGTGACGGGTGATGCATGTGTGGTTCCTGAGTGCAGAGACAGGAGACAGACTGGAAAAGAAGGAGCAACGCTTGGATAAGGAGAGCAAGACCTTATTGGGGAGAAAGCCAGGCCTTGTCACTTCTTTTGGGAAAATGCAGTGGTCACCAACCTTTTGGATCTCACGGACCCTCAGTGGTCCGCGGACCATGGGTTGGCGACCCACTGTTCCAGAGTAAAGAGGAGGTGGGGTCAGGCCTCACCCCACCCCTTCTGCACCCTCCCACCCCTGTCCTGAGGTCTGGGAGTGAGAAGTAGAGGGAGGGAATGGTGGTCTGGGGCCTGGATTGCCACCTGAGCCCAGCAAAAGGCTCTCTGGGAACTGCATGTAGCTCAGTCTCCTGGGATGTTCTGTGCCCCTCCACTTCCCACAGACTGGGAGGGAGGATGGAACCCAGGCAAAGAGGGCAGCACAGAAGGGGCGTCCTCCTTCCTGCGTCTCCTTTACCCATTGCCTCTCCCCTTTTCTTTTTCTTCCAAGGTCCTGCCCTTCTTCACTCCTTTGACAGGTTCTGTCCTTCCGGAAGATAAAGTATTTGAGACCAGAGATAAGCCCAAGGGTCTTGCTGACCAGCCTGTTTCCCATGCCCTGTCCCCGCTAAGTTTAATGGGTTGGGGAGGTCCGTACCAGAGGAGAGTGAGGGGAGGGTTGGAAGAGCAGGAAAAGGTATGCATTCACATCAACACACCCCTTACTACCCGGGAGTGGCCCATGGTCAGTTCTCCTTTTCTCCACTTATTCCTGAAGCTTGATGCAGCTATCAGAGAGAGACCAAAGGGGTAGGGATCTTGCTGTCCTGCCCTGAGCTGGAAGACCTTGTTCCTCTGACACGCTGCTTGGTGTGCTGCTTCCTCACCGTCACCTGAGGCCTCCAGGGGGCAGACGGCCTGCTCTTGCACAGGCCTTTGGCAGTCAGGGGTCCAGTTCCAGCCTTCAGCAGAGGAAATGACAACTCCAGCCCTGGGGCAAGGGTCCTTGTTGTCCCACCACCTGGTTGCCCTAACCAACCAGGTGTGGGAGGTGTGTGAGAAGGCAGTAACCCTTCAAGCAGCTTTCCTGATTGCCAGCAGCCCACACTTGGAGGGGAGGGACATAAGGACCTGTCCTGACCCACCTACTCGAGTCTACAAG